TAGACTGCTGTGCACCATCAATTACACTTTTTGACTAAGTTTCGCGAGCTCTAAGTAAAAGAACCTGTTTCTTTTTTTTCGAAGGTTATTGTGAAAGTGTGTTGGTACATTCAGTTATTACCTGAACTGTTAAAATGGTGAAATGGGTGCTATATTGGGCCGAGTGAGCGTTTTCAAATTTATAGGTTTACTGATGAAGCTTCGATGCTCAATGCTGCAAATGATACACGAACTGGCCTGGCTGGATATGTCTTCAGCCGAGATATGGATCAGATCTACCGAGTAACCCGTCGACTTCAAGTTGGAATGATCGGAGTCAACGAAGGTCTGATTTTTTTCCGATGTTTTTCACTCCTGGACTTCTTTTTTTATTAAATTTCGTAAGCATCGTCATTTTCAATCAGATTTATATTCGCATTGCTAAAAGATATTTTAAGGTCTTATGTCATGTGCCGAAGCTGCCTTCGGAGGTGTCAAAGAGAGTGGCCTGGGCAGGGAGGGCGCAGCACAAGGCATTGATGAATTCACCCAATGGAAGTATATTTGCACTCAACACCAATGAATAGTTCTTTGTTCATGACCTTTGGTAAGTCGACATGTAAAAGTAAGAAGAGGTCCGTTCCCTTGTGGGATCGATCCTTTCATAAGCGCTTAGTTTTATAGTGAGAAACATTCATATCACAGTGATCATGACAACTTTTTAGTTTTCTGCCAAACCCAATGGGTTATCATTGTATTTTTGTGCTCCAATTATGCTCCACTTTTGAGAATTTTTTTGTTTTGACCACAGCCAGTGGCTTCAAATATACTTTTGCTCGATCTTTAGACATTTGCATTGATTATGCTAAAAAAGAATGTGCCATTAATAATTATATATTCTATTTTGGTGAATATCTTCACATACAGAACAACTAGATGACCGTGTGATTTCTTGCCTAGTCTTGTATGTATACGAGTTTTGAGAACGAGGATAATGAATTTTCGCTTCAAGGCCACTCGAAGGTGCTATGATATGCATGACTAAAATTTAGGTAATTATATTTATTGATTTTGTACATCTATCGAATTTATTTCCATTTTCATGGAACCGATACAAAGGCTTTGGTCACACTGAGCACCATCGATTAGGTGACCCAGTGTGCTAAAAACAACGAGTATAAGAGGAAAACAATCGTAAAAAACTATATATGCTACGACGTAAGTAGGTAACTGATATTTAAGAACGCTTAAGTTTATACTCCGTCAGCGATCGACGACTTTGCCTAGGGAAGGCTTATTAGACTCTTTCAAACGTCGTTCAANGTGCCCTTCCTAAGCAATAGCAATCGCTGGCAGAGCTTAGACTCACATCTGGTTTATACTTTTTGTCTCGCGCGCTTTAGGAAAAAAAATCGATATCTCTTTGAAGGCGCCGACATCAAAAATCAAAGATTAGGTGATATAAGCTATTTCTCTGAAAGAATTCATGAGAATTCATCGCGTTGTCATGCAATTGAGATAAATACCCTCTCTGTGCAAAAATAACTGCTTTCAAAGCTAAGGATTTGAGCATAATGGGTAAACGTGATTTATAGGAAAGACGAATGTATCGACTAGGTGCGTGGCTTTGCGCGGCTGTTAAGAACGTCTCCGAACAAGCTGGGTATAAAGCTAGCTATCGTCTCTCAAATTGGAAAACTTTCTTACGAACGGAAATCGTTTGGAAGCAGTAATTGTTGCCTTTCGTCGCCAGAGGATGCAAATATTTTCAGGTTTTCCATTACATTCTTCTCACATTCGTTATGTCGTTCGACAAGTCGATCGACCGATTCTCTGAGTCGTCCATGTAGTTGCGAAGTGTTCAACTGCTTCTCGCAGCTGAACATATTTATTTTTCGTTTTTTCTAGTTGTTTAACTCTAAACAGCTATACAGTAGCGTCATGATGTCACTTGCTTCTAACTTACACTTGCACTACGTTGCATAGCATGGCAATCGTTTCGCGACCGCACGCGGCCCTGACTTACTATTGCAATCGCGACCATTCGAAAATGTTTTCAATAATCGCCCTCACCTTTGAATGGTCAGCATGCAACAGGTTGACAATGAATAGCACGCCTCCTTGAAGTCTTTCAAGTTTCTATGACAATCGTCTCGGTTCTCTTCAGAACGATAATGATTTTTGAATAAGAAGTCATCGATTGGCTCCGTCGACGGAAGCGGTTTTTGACAAATGAGAATCTGAAGAACATGATTTTATCGGAGGTAATTTCTAGCATAAATTGATCACTATTTGTTTTCATATCTAGCATGAATGTTGGCAAACATATTTTCTCCAACTGCTGCGCTAGCCCCGGTGCGGCGCGGTGCATGCGCGCGACCATATTGCGCCCCATACATGTACCGCGTCGCGCCCCGCCCGTATGTACCTTTGGAATTTTGCGCGAAATTATTAACCGCTTTCTGGGATTTTAGCTTCCTAGTACGGACTGAATTCCAATAATGAAAGTGAAAAAAATACCATGCCCACATACCTCGTCAGCGCTCATTCTTCTTCTGTCCTTGCTGTGTTCCAGGCATGCCTTTCTTAGACTGCGCTGCGTCACCAACAAGTGCTTTACCTAAAATTGCTTTTTTAGGAATTCATTGGTGAATGCAAGACGACATGGTGGGGTTCTTGAGACGTTCTGGATAGATGTGAAAATTAGAAAAAGGATAAAATGCCTTCAATAGTCTTATTTCAGAATTCTCATTTTGGGATTTTGGGTCTGTAATTGTAGATATATCCAACACAAAGGCTTTTTCAATGTACAGCTCACCATTGCGTAGTCTGACTTCTCGATGGATCGTAGACAAGTCTGATGGGCTAGCATACCTCTGCTAAGCGAGCTGTGATTGAGTATTTGCAGTACATCACCATCGTCAATACCTGGGAGATGTTATATCGAAAAGTGTGGAGTTTTAGATAATCGAAAGGAGAGGAAAGAACATTAACATTAATTCTGGGTGTGCTACAGGGGACACCACGTGCCTTCGCGCGACTTTCAGAATTATGCTCAGGCGTGAGCGGGTCGCGAGCGGGCAGCGGCGCACAATCGATGGCAACTCCTGCCCCACACTCTTTTCGCCCTCACCCCATCTGAACCAGAAAAGAAGAACTTTTGAAAAAAACAGACCGTGGGTGAGGAAACCTCTGGAATATCGCTGTTCGCATTCATTTTCATAGTCACGAACAATGTCCATACATGATGCGAGCCGGACACAACTCCTTATTCGTTGGGACTAAAAGTTAAATCGTCGGTGCAAGTGTGGCGTCCATCTATCCTAGCGAAAACCACTCACCCCAGTATTATCCGGCAGTCTCGTAATTAGCGGTGCAGCCCAAAAATTCGTAGTCCTTCCAGCTGCTTCTTTAATGTCTCTGTCTTGTCTTTCGTACACCTTCAACATCTCATATCCAGTAAATAAAGCCAGCTCAAAAGCAGTGGAAAGGCCGGTAGACCACTCCAATAGGTACGGAGAGTCTGATGCACTTCAGCGCACTTCTTAGTGGTTAAACGTCGGAGTAGTTGGTCAATTCACCAATGAGCAGTGCTATGGCAGAAACCAGTTCTACCTCCATACTTGTTGGCTTTTAGGGTGCCTACTATCTTCGAAGAAGGTCTTGGATTGTCTCCAAAGATATTTCATCTCCAAAATAACTAACATTTTCTCCATCGTCGGTCTCATTTTGCTCCTCTGACGACGTACTCTCGAAGGTCTTTGGACCATTACCAATCTGAAATAACCAAGTAAACATGTGGAACACTGCAAACATGCATGGTCCAGGATCGATACTCGCCCAAAGTCACCAAGCTTGCCATCCCTTCGGGGTCGGTCGGCTAATTTGTACCAGATTGGTTTGGGAGGATAAAAGCACTGACTTACGCATGAACTGACCACCGCAAGTGATTGTATAGGCTACATATGCATTCAAACGCCGCTACGATTCTAAGTGGAAGTCGAATGCTGAGTGCATCCCAAATAGGGGACTGATTGATGCCATAGATTTCAACCTAATCATTATATAACTCGGGGATTGTGGTTCTTCTCACGACACATTTATTGGATCGAAGTCAGATGGGCTACAGAGCAACCACACCAGAGGTAGAGGGCATAAACCATGTGGGAAGGGATTACCGTATACATGACATAGTTGAGGTATGTGATTGACAAGGTTCAGCAGCAACTCTACTCTTTAGAAGGAAGAAATTGGTGGAGCACTGCTGAAATGCCTACGATTGGTCTTGTATTGAGTGAACCAGCTTCACGAAAAGTAGGGAATGTCATTACCTCTTCTGACTTTGGCTTCGGTGTCGTTTCCTCGCTTACCGTGTCGTTCTTGGCGCTGCCTGTTGTACCTACATTGATGACCTTCGTCGTCTGTCCTTCTTTGGTCACCTAAATATCATCACCTGTCTTCGATAGTTACTTATTTACGTTGGATGAGACCAACCGAAACTGATAAAACCTTGTTTTCTTCTGAAGTTCTCTTTCCAAAAAGGAAAACTCCAATAAAAGACGATAGTTTTAACTATCTAGGCCATCAGAAAGGAAAAGCTTATCAGTGAGTTATATAGGTATCGATTGAATGGAATAGAAAATAGATTGGCAAGAACGTAATTCTCGCAGATAGTCCGCTTTCTTGCAAGCTTTGTTTCTGAAGTTTTTCACAAGTTAAATTTTTTCCAGTAGATTTAATACTCACATCAACCTCTTCTAACACTGCCTTCGGTAGATTATCTGTACCGTTCTTCTTCATGTGTGTGTCCTGAAACTTGATAGGATAAGACATCAAAGTATCATTGGTGCACTCGCAATTCTTTGCTCTTAGTTACTAGTGAATACACAAAAGTGAGATTTTTGTGGCTATCTTCAAAAAGTAGAAATGGGTTTTCAGAGAGTCTGACTAGAAAGAGCACTGAGCACTTCAGAAAGCCTTCCCCTTAACCAGTTGTAACTCCATAACTCGAGTATTACCGCATGTTCTTCGTCCCCAGATAGTAAAGCAGTTGCTTCTTCGTCATCGCTGTCTTGAGTGGTATCGGCCTGGAATAAAGAGAACTGTTCCGATGCCGCCTTCATTTCATTTCACTTCGTACTGAATTAATCGACATTCATTCATTCCTGATTCCTTTCGAATTCGATAAATGTGTGGGAGGATAAGGCGATACAAATTTTCACTCGATCCCTATACTTTTGGATCCGATAAACGGGTGGGAGTATCTTCGTGAGATGCATGGCGTATTCTATTCCTATTCCGTTCATAATCACTAACGATGCATTTTCCAATTGAGATGGTTAGAAAGATCGCTTTGTATTCCAATGATCTGCAGCTTCGAATTCTGGATAGATGAATCTCCCCAGTCCTATGCTGCTTTGGAGCTTTACTTACTGCGAATGAAACCGTCTTAGGACTCTCTTTTTTTGCAAGTTATAATGGAAAGGAAAAACTCATTCGATTCATCCTACGATTCCATCTAGGAATCGAGTGCGTGGCGCATTCCAACACTTC